ACAGTAAAAGTTACGGAGATAACTTTCTAAAGCTGCGAGTAGCAGCCATYTTGAAATCAAAGATAGTTGCAGCTGTTACCACTATACGAATGGGATTTACCACTGGAGTTCCAGTTTAAATTTTTGAATGGGAGCTAGAAAATGTCCACTTYCCAGTGCTACTGGATCACACCAAAAGTACCCAGCAAAAGTGTAGCTAAATGGAGATTTTATGCAGCAGAATTTGCCAGCTGCTACTTTTGAACCTTGTTTGCACCTCCACCAAGTGGTGGGATGCCATCTTTTGCAGGTAAAACAACTGACATGCATTATGGGAGATGTAGTTTAATGCTGGAAATAAAGATGCATACGCTTATTTTAAGACATTAATACATCTTTGAAGTGTTCTCAGGCCACATAAAATGTTGTGGTGGGCCACATTTTGCCTACGGGCCTTGAGTTTGACACGAGCTTTATGGCAATTTGGAGTCAGTCATGCATATGTTTGAAGTGTACACAGGGCTACATCTACATGTCGATTACTCWTATCTATGTTATCTTCATTTTTTTTGATCCATCCTTTTCTCACAAAGCATGGACCAAGTTTTATGAAAACAAAATGCCTACRTTTCCAGAGAAGCTCATTGGATTTGAGACATACTTTAACTAAAGTGTCACCCTGAAGTCTTGAATTCATGCTGTTTGCTCTTATTTTTCCYAGAACCGTGTCTTTTCTGAGCTGTTTCCTCAGCTGGCAAGTGCACATGACGTAAGCACCATCTGGCTCTGCTCTCAGGATTAAACAGTTTTTGGTGCAGCCCGTTTTTTTTTTTTTTTTTTTTGTATTTTTTTTTTTGCTTGTTTTCTGGTGAAAAAAGAAGTTCCTTGTCATCTGCTGGCCTTGATTCATGTCACTCTCTTCACTCTCATCCCAGCTTTACTGTTCNCACACACACACACACACACACACACACACACACACACACACACACACACACACACACACACACACCAATATATACTTGTGAACATATTTAAATTGAGAAATTTGCTCTGAATAAATGTTAATACTTTATTTTTTATTTTGTGTCATTAATGTGTCAATAACATTAGTATGAATAAAATCTAAGCTTTGCAGTGCAATGCATATGACTGTATTCAGAGTTGCAAAGTAACAAAGTACAAATCCTTTGTCACTGTACTTAAGCAGAATAATTGGGTATCTGTACTTTACTTGAGTAATTATTTTTCATACTTTTTACTTCTACTTTTTACATTTTCACACAATTATCTGTACTTTCTACTCCTACTTACATTTAAAAAGGGCAAGGGAAGTAGAAAGTTGTTACTTTTATTTCATTTTTGCTTGTTTTCTGGTGAAAAAAGAAGTTCCTTGTCATCTGCTGGCCTTGATTCATGTCACTCTCTTCACTCTCATCCCAGCTTTACTGTTCACAGTTCTGTCAAAAAGACATTTACTTCTTTTTATTTACACCTACCTGTCACAGCAAAATTAACTTCCATTTCTCAGACACAGATAGTTGATCTTTACTCTGCTAATGTTGTGCACTAGAATCTACCCTTACCTACTACATCTTCTTCATTGGTGTTGCCGGGCAGATTGAGCTATGAGTAATGTAGCCCTCTGGTGTTTTAGTCTGTTAATAGAAAGACGAAAATTAAACAAGAAAAATGTGTTACTGTTTCCTGTGAGAGTTGTTGAAAAAAAAAAAGAGGCAATGGTGTAAACTCGGGACACAAACCCTCTCCTGCARGGGATTATCACTCCAGTGCCAAATGGAGCAAATAACAAGGACCTGATTCCTCATCAACCCATTGAGGATGTGTATTGGAACAGGCATTATCAAAGTCAAAATCCAGCTTGAGCAGCTTCTTTCATGGAGTTGGAGTGAACTGGGACCAGAAACCAAGCTGATGGTCAGGGAGACCTTGGTAAGAATAACCACAATTCATTGTAGATGGGCCTTGAGTCTCCCAATGAAGGTCAACCTACAGGTTTCCCAGGCCTGATAACTCTCCCTACATGTTTGTGATTGTGCTAACAAAAGGACAGTATATCATGGGAGTTCCATGCAAGGAGAAATGATGCATGGAGATAAACCAGTTGACCAGGCAGGGGCGTAGGCACCATAAAAGAAGTAACTCAACATTCTTTAGATTATGATCCTTTCTTTTTCTCTCTTTTTTTTAAATCCGAGATAGAAGGATTTGTAACAACATACAGTATCATATGCATAATAACATGTATTACTTTTATGTAGGTAATCTTGAAACGATATTTCAGATCATTTGAAGTTGATTTTAGTAGAGACGTTCTGAACAAAACATACATTACCTGTTGTTGATAGCCCTTTAAATGACCCCAATTTGGAGAAACAATAAACTCTATTTTAACACTGAGGTTGTTCATAGTGCTGTTTACAACAGACTCTACTTTAAGACTTTCAAAAAGGTCAGTTGTTTTTAWGGCATGTGATCCCAAATGCAAATGTTTGAAAGTGGGAATGTTTTTAAAAGAAATGTCACCAAAGGAGAAATGCCATGCAAATGCCCATGTCTCTCTGTGTGTTGTTTGAATGTACGGCTAAYAAAATATCTCATGAATCTCTGGATGRAGTTTATAGAATTGTTTAAATAAATGATCAAGCCACCAAGAACTGTGACTTGACTTTTGGAGTCAGCACGGTTTATGACGGCTGCCACAGCAAAGCAATCTTCACAAACACAAAAATGGCTGCAACTCGGACAATTTAATAGATACTGCGCTAAAATTTAGTGTGGTAGTAGCTGAGCATCATCCCCAACTTATACTCTGGGCACCAATTTATCACACAAGGTCTGTGTTTAAAACTTTGTCATTACCTTTGTTTGTTTGCTCAATATCTCCTGAACCACTGAATAGATTTAATTGAAAATTGAAAAAGGAAGTGAAAATACAGTTTTATTTGTTTGTTTGTTAGTTTGTTTATTTCCGTTGTCTTTAGGAACATTTACAAGTGGTTTGCTACATATCCATAGGCTATACGGTCACATTTGGTGTCCAGTTGTTTTAAATTAATTTGGCTGTATGGTGCACTGGCATCAGAGTGAGGTTTCCTTTTTTACCTCATCAATGTTTTATCCACCTGTTGAAGCGCACGACCATGAGAGGGTGGAGTTCTACCACAATGAGCGATCGTATTGCGGAAGTCATGCACAGGTATGAAAAGCTGAGGTGAGTAAAGGCAGCCATTACAAAAAGAACTGTGATAATTGTTTTGGCTTCAAAATAAAAGTCTCCAAATGTGTCTAACAATACTGTCCATTGTTTAGAGAAATAGCCTAATAAAGCTAAAGGCAAATTCAAATGCTTTAATTTACACACTTGTGTAAATTTGCACACTTGTGTAAATTTGGCTCTATTTGATCATAATCTAACACAAACCTACAACTCATGAAGTCATGCGTTTGCAAAATCTGAAGGTATGGCCTGTTTTAAAGGTCATAWTGTTTGATGGGCCATGGATCGTTTGAATTTATGTAGTTTCATTTACAAGGAAACTGGTAGATTTGAACTTTTTTGTTTCCTACAAATATTGGGGTGTTTCATGAATAAACAAATGAATAAATCAACAAACAA